AGCATATAATGTAGTACCTTCTTTGAAAACATATTTATTACTATCAGTATTAAATTGCTATCGAGAACCAATAGTAAGGTCAGTACCGCCTCCCTCGAGTTTTCGGAGCGTGTTTCTGTTTATGTACACCAATTTACTGATTGTACGGGAAAAAAAGCTAGCAAATTGATGGGGAGCCGCGAGAGAATATCGTGACACCGGAGTTTTATCAGTAATGAAACCGCCACGAATATTATGCTGTACTTGTGTAAATATAAAAAATTAAATGAAACTACCTATGATTGTTTCATACTTTTAGTTCTTTAATTTATTATTTACTAACGATCTATCCCGGTTATGCACGGTTTTTTTTAAATAAAATATAACTCATATTATTCTCTGATAATGTACCTTTCTGTAGATGATTTTTTTTTTAGTATTTTTTAAGTATATCCATACAAATACAATATCTAATTTAATTATATGGTTAAGATTACCGACTAATTCTATATTTTATTAAACTACTGATTGAGTAAATAATATTAGAATTTATTAGAATTAATTTCTTATCAATTTATTTATTTGTTTTGATTTTAGTTTTATCGTTTCGTTTGTATGATAAATTGCGCGTGCGACGAAATGCGTGAATGAATTTGAATAAAATTATAAAAAAAGATAGTTATTAATTAATTAAGTAATTAATTACAATGAATAGGTACGTAGAACAAACATCTAACGACGACCAAAAACTATTTTGATTAAAATAGGAAAGGTCTGTAAATAAGCTAAAACTTTAAAATGTATTTTAGGTAATTGTATGGCGTTAACGTACATCCAATTAACTAAAATAGCTACTAGTTACCTACCTAGTACCTAATGTAGTAATGAGACTCCATTATCCGCTATTAGCCTATCATTTGGACTATTTTGCTTGTAAATAGGTATCATCATTTCAGCCATTCTCCGTCCACTGCTGGACATAAGTCTCCCCCATAGACCGCCATAAAGAACGGTCCTGAGCCACCTGCATCCACCGACTTCCTGCAATGCATTTCAGGTCGTCACTCCATCTAGTGGGGGGTCATCCTACATTGCGTTTACCTATACGTGGTCGCCACTCAAGAACCTTTTTTTTCCCATCAGTTGTCGGTTCTCCGATTTATGTGACCAGCCCTATGTCACTTCAGCTTGCTCATCCTTCGAGTTATGTCGGTTGTAAATAGGTATAGTCTTTTTTTTTAATAAAACCTAAAATTTTGTTAGAATTATCACAAAAACTCTCTATAAATGAAATTCTTAATAAACCGAAACATTTGATCATTTAATTGAATTTTGATTTACATTACTATTAGATTGATGAATGTGGAAGAAGCGAAAGAGGTTTGTTTGAATCGAAGCATTTGGCGTTCCATTGTTTCTGCCTACCCTAATGGGAGACAGGCGTGACAGATATGTATGTATGTATGTATGTACTATTAGATATCAGACTTTCTTATGGTTGGATGAGTTGACTTAATTAATTAATAATAATAAATATTTATTTGCGTAAAACCTGGTAAACAATTATGTTTTAAGAGTGTACATGTCTTGTTAAAGTTATATAGCATGCAAATTCAATAATTTTGATGGTTAGTATTTATTAAAAATACTAACCATCAAAATTATATTTTATTTTTATAATTAACTATATGTCAAAAATATTTGTATTGTATGTTTGTTCAGCAGTGATGATGATGATGATGATGTTTGTTTACATTATCATTAAATTCTTTTGTAACACACTTTAGATAGGTGGTTCTTAAATGAAGAGGAGTACCAGAGGAAGATTTTGTACAAAAGTCGATTGCTTGGGTACCTCTGTTTCATTCGTGTTTCTACCGTGAAGCAGTTGTGTTTCGGTGTAACGCATGGGGGGTATCATGGGCGAAACAGTATACTCTGTTATGTCCATGGTACTGCTCATGTCTATAGGCGACGGTTACCACTTTTCATCAGCTGGGCCGTCGGCTTGTTTGCCATTCTAAATTGTAGAAAAAAAAAAGAAGAGAAAAGTGTATATATATATACACAAATAAATAATGTACCTATATTAATTGTTAACGAAATAATTATAAGCTATGGAACTTATGACAAAAACTAGCCTATAATTTTCTTAGTCTAACACTACGTATTTACTAGGCAAAACAAACAGCTCGACGTTGCACCTCACTAGTCATAACAACCGTAATGATGTTTGCCGACTCTCCCCCGAGATACAACGTCGCGTTTTACGGGAATTAAAAACGCAACCCCAACCTCCTTTTTTTATTAACTGTAGGTATAGACAAATATAATTTTTTTTTAAATAGATTAAATCGCAAGGAAAAGGGAGAGCGGATTAAATGTTTATGACTCTTTATGACTCCCTTGCGTCTATATTTGGCAGATGGAATATCTAATGGGAGATTTATTAATAGGGTGTTTATATGATTAGAGAAGTAGATTATTAATTGAATACCAGTTGCTGTAATATTGACTTTTTTAGTAATAAATTAATTAAGTACTCGATTATTTAACTTCAGTACCTACCTAATTTTTACTATTATTCTTATTAATCTAATCTATATATAATATATATCTTATTAATCTACGATTATTAAATTACTTATAATTCTACGATTTTGCCAGATGATAAAAAAGAGGATTATTTTCCTTTTATGTGAAGTGAGGCATTGATTTGATATAAACAGCTTATGAAATAAGAATAGACAATAACTGGTAAGAATTCAGTTTTAGTCTTGGAGTTTTCTTCAATTTTTTAATTCAGTTTATACATTATTATACATCCAACAAATAGTCTTTAAATATGATGAGAAGAAAATTACATAAAATCTGCTTTATTGTACTTGAAAAACAAAAAAAAAATTAAAACTTTTTTATTTAAAATCACTTAAGTATTTACTTAATCATTTTTCGCGCAAACTGTTTAAGTACAAGTTACATATACATTCAAGTTAATTATACCTTGCAATGCCCTTAAAAATGATGTACCTACGATAGAAATATAATATTAACTAAATAGAAGTATTTACTAAAAATTTAATGATCAATTCCATTATACTATATACATGGAATTTACAAAATGAAAAATACTTTAAACTACATATGTAATAATATTTTTTAACAATCATATATTGAAGTGCAAATTTTCTTATTTTCATCTTAAGATTAATCTCGTTTAATCATACTTATATAATAATAAATAAATTATAATCATAATATATATACTACTGGGTACTAAGTTTGTCATAAATATAAATTTATATCTAGACACGATACACTACATTATCTGTGTGATAGAAAGTGTTAGTAATATACCTACTTCCTGACCACCTGGTAATCAGTGTTATAACGCACCTACGCCGAATAATTGAACAAAATAAAAAATGATCTGTCAAACGAGCACCTTTCCCGCCAATTTGGCGGCAGTTCGCGCCCTCGCAACTGCGTAGGGTTACCATATTGCATTAGATCGAAATCTTTAAAATGCAATATTTACATTTTATGCGTTTCTAAAATCTACTATATGTTTTTTAAGCTTTTTAGTAATAATTTTAAATTAAAATAAAATAGATTGTGATACGAAAAAGTATGCATAAAAAAATTATAGACGTACTCGTAGTATAAAACAAACAACGCGAAGATGATATCATATTAAAGATTGTGCCCCGCAAAAAAAACGACTAATTAATTAATTTGATTTAAAAACTAAACTACAAACACATGCAGACCGATTTTAATGCCCATGGGGCCAATCTGTAAATATATCCTTTTAGATAAAAAAGAGTTTTCCGTTTGGTTTCGGTTTAGAATTAACGGAGTTATTAAATAACAAGCATAAAAAAATACAATCTAATTGAGAACCTCCTTCTTTTTGAAGTCGGTTGGAAAGTGTGTCGCACGTAGATATTCACATGATGAAAGCAGTTTCATAATTCTTTATTTATAATATAATAATAAGAAGGAATTGCCCTCTAGTGTCAAAAATGTCTAAGCTTAGCTTACCGGATAATTTTATGTATCCTTCAAAATACGAAGCAAGTAATAATGTTTGTACATAGTAATAATATTATGATCTAATTTATAAAAGAAATACATGTAACGTATAAATTAATAAAATAGCAAATTGGTTCCCATTTGAACATCATTAAATCAAAATCAGTCCTCATTACTTGAAAGTTTGTCCACCCTCTAATTTCGACACGCCCTAACATCGAGATTAATAGGGGCTCATGTTTAGACTTCGGTCGTCATGGCACCGAGGGTGGGATTGACAATCTGCCCTCTACTCTGTGGGGCCGCATAAATACCACATCTCGGGGGGACGGTCTACGCTATCTGGCAACACTCGTTTTAATGACTCACAGTGAAAAGATGTTGGCGGGAAAGGTCATAGGTTAATTAGATTTTTATGATACTATTTTTTTAGTACGATAATGTTTTTTATACGATGAGTAATATATTTCGCGATGAGATCGGAAATGAGGGAAAGGAAGGACGAGAGAACTTTTGTTGTAACCATAAATTTTCATGTTTATAGTTTTAATAGTATGAAACTTAAGGTGCGTATTCACCAGTGCGTTGTTTTGTAGTGTGCCTAATAAATGTTACATTACACTACATGGTCCAGGTCATTACATACCTTGCGAGAGCTTATTTCTAGTACAATCTTAAGTATGTAATATGAACTGGTATTCAATAAATACTGAACTTTAAACCTGCAAAGGTAATAAAAAGCATAGATAAAGAATAACACGATCTGTGCTACGATTTTCTATGTAAGGGAACTTCTATAATAACTAGTATTACTGTATGCCCCAGATTAAGGTAGTAGGTACCTGGCATTCTCTTTATAAGCTAGGTATATGATTTTGTCTTACGTCTGTCTTTAACATTTTAAAATTTCGTACGATATAAACCTAATTCTAAATTCGCAATCAAGTAACAACTACTTTCAAGTATTATATACATAAAGATACAAAATGCCTGACAAGATTCTGCAAAATAAATTTAATGTGCCAATTCAAATGACAGATTTATCAATATTTGACGATGCAGTTTCCACTATGAAGGAACGATTTGTAGCTAAAATTAAACGTTTAGATGCTGAGATAACTAAATTTAGGTATTTTTTTTAATGTTTAAACTTTATATATGTAAGGATTTAAGCCAATAGAAGTGGTTTCTCTCTCTCCATCCCATATTAGATTTACCATGAAAATACAATATTAATAACATGTCTACTTTTAGCTACTCATCTGTATCGTACAATACCATTAATCATGTAACATAAACAATACAATATACTTGAGTATCACACATGTGCCACCATTCCTAAAGGTTAAAATTGTATTACCATCGTACCTTCTGACTTTATTGTTATATCAGTTTCTTTAAATCGTAACAGACACTTTCACAAACATAGTTGCTTCAGATATACCTGCCAGGAACATTCTATGTTTAGCAATCATTAAAATGATGAGGATATCGATAGCTTGTATATATCTTTTTAGAAATACAAATAGTAACCTTGTCTATACCTTAAGTAGATGCTAATAGGGTACATAGTAAGTAATTTTCATAGGTAAGAACGAAATCAGTTTAGTTAACCCATCATGATAAATTCACTAAGAATCAACCATGATGATATTCAATTTATGATGAAGTCGACCTGATAGTGTAAATTCTGCGTGTTCAATACTATAATGTGTTTCAGGGTGTTGTTACGGCTGCCACGTTGTTGTAGTGCATCCACAATGTTTGCAGCGGCATGGACAGATGACTTCTATGCCATCAGACGCAAACTGATCGCGTCTCTTTTATACCGATTGCGTGGCAGCAGTAACAGCATTCTGTGAGCATTGTGTAATAAATACGATAGCCCGATCCTCTCATTGTGGGTCAAAATTATTATAGGAGCCATAAAATGAATTTTGTATTTTTTTTTTTCTCTACTACCATAGTTTAAGTCAATTGTTATTAACAAAAATGGATCTTTGTAATCTATAATAAAGAAAATATTATTATTATTATATTGCTAACAATGGAACCTAATCCCAGTTAGAAACAATCCTCTCTGTATATGAATGAATGAATGAAAGAATATTTATTTGGAAGTATATGTTATGTAATAAACAATTACTTATTATTATCACTCCATTAGCTCAGACCTAATGCATATTTATGGACAAGCATCTACGATGCAAACAGGAGTGACATCGTCTAAAAGAGACACCCCGCAAACCAGCTGGGATAACATCACCAGTTCACCTCTCGTAGAAGGAGACGAGGACAATAAATCCTTAAAACTCCAATTCGACGTAAGCCAATTTGATCCTAATGAGGTGAGCAAACTTTATTCTAATATTCTTGATATTAGATCTTGGGAAATACGAACGACAGGAATAGTGGCATGAGGTATCATGGGTGCCGCAAAATTTTTTGCGATGTTTATAATGCTATTCAAGTCTAGAAGTTACAGTTACATGGGGGGGCCAATCCATAGCTACTCGGGGGTAAATAGTGGGTGCGGAGTGAACCCATTACGTTGGACATAATAAAATAATCATCCATGATAATGTACATACCTAGTTATCAAAAGATCTTGAGCCTCCACGAGGCCTTTAGACGCCTGCGCCCCTTACTGCTACCATTTTCGACCAGGTCATCATGTAAGATTCGAATTTCCTTTTTTTACTACAGGTAACAGTGATAGTCCTAAACGACACCCTGGTAGTCTCAGCCACGCATGAAGAGAAAACCAATAATTCCATGGTCTTTAGAGAGTACAAACGAGAGTTCCTGCTGCCTAAAGGAATAGATCCACAAGCCATAGTGTCTTGTCTGTCCAAGGATGGAGTACTTACTGTACAGGCTTCGTTACCATGCCAGGCCTAGCTTGATAAGCCTGCTGAAAGAACTGACTCTAAATAAGAACTTAAAAGACGAAATAATAGGATTTGATAACGGGTAAGTAATGAATTCAGTCAAGTACTTGCCTTTTAAAATTTAATATATTAAATGAAAGTTGGAAGTGTAATGAGTATTTAATGGTATTCGAATTTCTAAGGGCATTATTTTATAAAATTAAATACAAGTGAATACTTGTATTTAATTTTATAAAATTATTTCGCATAATTAAATATAAGTGTTTACTTGTATTTATTTTTGAGCAATAAGAAATACAGATACAAGTAATATTTGTTTGTATTAGTGCAGTGATTAGGTCTTTTGTTTTGCATTTTGTAATTATAATCTTGGTAGAATGAAATGTGATTAAAATCCTTAATAATATTATAAATGTAAAAGTATGTTTTTTTTTTGTCGCGCCTTAACAGCTCAACTAATTGTAATGAATTTTCGCATTTATATATCCAATGCTTATATTAATACGTAATTTGATTTATTAAAAATCAAAGTTCATTAATTTTTACATAATATATATATATATATATATATATATATATATATATATATATATACATAATATACATATAAATTATTATCAATTTTTTTTAATGGTTATACAGGTATTATTCTCAAATAATGTGTTCTTCTGAAAAAATGTTTTATTAACTTCTGAGCCTTATTATTGACAATGTTGCTGTAGTTTTCAATAGTATTTGTTTGTTTAATTTTGTTTATATTTGTTTAATTTAGTATTGTCTAATTTTGTGTTTCGTTTATTTGTATTTTATTTTGTGCAAATTCTAGTGGCTGCCAAATTACTATTTAAGTATATAATTATGTATTATATTAGCTGTTTGTTTGCCTTAAATAAATAAATAATAATGCAGTGCATTTAGCATGTTAGTGTGAAGAACTTCGATATTTTTGCCATTTTCCGACCTATATTTTTATAAGCCTACTGGTAGAGCACTCCCTTAAAAGGATGTTTTCAATTTCATCCTGTATACATTGTCGCGTGTATTGTATACTCACTGTTATGTTCTTACATAGTAAAAGTACATTATCTGTGTACGACATCGGTGACGTGGCCGCAGCAGATAAACGCGACCTAACTGACACACACACACTCACACGCACACAAATGTCGTGATAAATAAGGATTGAAACACACGTAGAGTTCATTTCAAATTATACAATAAATATCCAAGTATATATCCAAGTATTTTATTGCATCAGACGTTAACTATCAACTACTAAATATAGCCTTCCTCATATACGGGGGTTGTGCCAGTAGTTGTCATGCTTGGCAAACGGATTGGCAAACGCAGTTTGACTTTGGATGATGTTTTAAAAGAGACGCTGCTTCCCATTTCTTGACCATAAACTCCCTTAGTCGCCTTTTACGACACCCACGAAAAAGAAAATGGTGACCTATTCTATGCCGGGACTCATACGGCTATATATTCAAGTACTAATAGTTCTATTCAATCAACATAAATATGCAAACATATACTATATGAGAGACGCATATTATATTATTAGCTGCTTTTTCTGCATGGATTAAAATGTATATAGGTGTCGCCTGTGTGCCTTCCATTCAAATTCGTTCCGCAGTTTAAGTATGAGTAAATATTAAACATTTAAATATATCTAGGGACTTGTATTCATAATATTAATAATAAATATGTTGGAAAATACAGATAAAGCTACGTATGCATATATATCTACAAGATTGTAAGCATATTATTATTGTTAGTAATCATAACAATTATGATTACTAACAATAATATATATAATAGAGATCTTTTGAACACTTGATTTCAATAACCAGGACTTCCTTCAGTTACATACAGGAAGTGTAATTGATTGAATTAGCGCTAAAATGATTACTTCTTATTAAACCATTTCTCAATTATATCCTATAATTGAAGAAGAATAATAACTGAAGAAAATTTGGAAGGCCGTTATATATTTTACAATTCATGATTTGTTAGTTTGTTCCAAAAATTATGGTATCTAATTTTTGTAATAGTTTCATTAAAAATAGAGTGTACTTTTATAGTATGTACAAAATAATCAAATTGTACAGCAATTTAGTACTTAGCATTGAGTGGTCGGCGTCAAATAGAATTCTCAGTTACTCTGATCGTTTCAAAATCTAGTATAAAATTTATTTAAACACTAATAAATTAACTATTTATAATTATTTCCAAATGAAACGGCTAATTCAACAATCAACTGTCTAACAAAATTGAATAAAAAATATTCGATACACTACTTGAGATCCTAGAAAGTGATATGTCGACTTTAATTTATTTTATAAATACTTAAAACTTCAATATGTAAAGGTATTTATATATACAATAACGCCTGTAAACCTACTATGAAAGCAGTAATTAGGTGTATTTATCACTGATACAGTACTCGTATACGAATAATTGTTCAATTGTTCTCATTGTATCCCAAACCTATGTAGGTCACCTGTACATTCACACGTGTGTATGTGGTCGTGTTCGCGCAGTAGCAGTGTTGATGCGGCGCGTTGCCATGGCAACATACCGCGCTTGCTTCCCAGAAGAGGGTGCTCGCTATGCTCAATGCTAAGATAGTTATCTTCTAAACGAGTTGTTTTTCGTAGATCGATTCTGATATCTTATAAAAGAAAAAAAAGGAAAGTTTAAATATAGTACAGACGTTTTTAAGAAATCAAATTTCTCCCATATTGATTGTATACAGATACTAATGCCTATGTATTGCTGAGTGGTCCCAGCATAGAACGGGCCACCCCTTCCTTTCCCGTGGGTGTCGTAAGAGGCGGCTAACAGAACTTAGTAATCGACGTGGCAGCGTACCTCTTAAAATATTACCAAAATGCTAACTGCAGTTGTCAACTCACCTGCCACGCGTGGCAACTACTGGCAAAACCCCATAAGAGGGGTTTTGCCAGGGAGGCTTATGTTTAGCAGTGGACAATTAATGGGTGGATATAATGATGACTACTATATACATACTACCATTAATTCACCATTAATTTATTTGAATTCCATACAAAGATAGGGATCACAGGTACTAATCATAATTTATGGCACCATACTAGATTATAAATTTTGCCAAAAAGGTGGTTTTAGTGAAACCAAAACCAAAACAAAACGAGGAAGAAGAGAAGAAAGGAGTAAATCATATCGATGCAGAAAAATGCGTCAAAATGAGTTCAAATTAACAAAGATATCGCGTAATATGCACACGGAATAAATACAGTCAAATCAAGAACTTCTTAATTTTAAAGTCGGTCAAAAATAAAAAATGACATGTATAAAATTTCCTACTTTCCTACTACTCGTACTTATTTGAAAAATTATTCTTCCAAAATGTCTTAAATGAATAATCAGGGTAAACTAAAGCCGACGACTTGTTTGGTTGTCGGAAGATGATGTATGGGGTGAATTAATTAAGTTATATTTTTATAAACGTTTCGCCTAATTAATAAAAGCAAAACAAAACGTAGAAACTAAAACTAGTAGTTTGTATTAGGGTACAAACTGGCAACACCGACAGAATAGACACACCCTGGGTTCCCACATATCTAATAATATGATTTTACATTCTAAATCTATTTATTATTATATATTATTTAATATATGATTATTATATACACAAAATTGAAACGAAACTAAGTAGGAAGTAATTCCCCATCGATTGCAAAAAGTATTGTGAAAACAGTTCGAAATTATTATATAGGTGTATATTTACACAAAATTAAAAAAAGACCAAGAAACCCTCTTAATTGTAAAAAGAATTATGAAAATAGTACAGACGTTTTTAAGAAATCAAATTTCTCCCATATTGATTGTATACAGATACTAATGATATATTTGTCGTAAGAGGCGGCTAACAGAACTTAGTAATCGACGTGGCAGCGTACCTCTTAAAATATTACCAAAATGCTAACTGCAGTTGTCAACTTGACTGGCAAAACCCCATAAGAAGGGAGGATGTTTCTGGACAATTAATGGGTGGATATAATGATGACTACTATATACATACTACCATTAATTCACCATTAATTTATTTGAATTCCATACAAAGATAGGGATCACAGGTACTAATCATAATTTATGGCACCATACTAGATTATAAATTTTGCCAAAAAGGTGGTTTTAGTGAAACCAAAACCAAAACAAAACGAGGAAGAAGAGAAGAAAGGAGTAAATCATATCGATGCAGAAAAATGCGTCAAAATGAGTTCAAATTAACAAAGATATCGCGTAATATGCACACGGAATAAATACAGTCAAATCAAGAACTTCTTAATTTTAAAGTCGGTCAAAAATAAAAAATGACATGTATAAAATTTCCTACTTTCCTACTACTCGTACTTATTTGAAAAATTATTCTTCCAAAATGTCTTAAATGAATAATCAGGGTAAACTAAAGCCGACGACGGAAGATGATGTATGGGGTGAATTAATTAAGTTATATTTTTATAAACGTTTCGCCTAATTAATAAAAACTAAAACTAGTAGTTTGTATTTACAAACTGGCAACACCGACAGAATAGACACACCCTGGGTTCCCACATATCTAATAATATGATTTTACATTCTAAATCTATTTATTATTATATATTATTTAATATATGATTATTATATACACAAAATTGAAACGAAACTAAGTAGGAAGTAATTCCCCATCGATTGCAAAAAGTATTGTGAAAACAGTTCGAAATTATTATATAGGTGTATATTTACACAAAATTAAAAAAAGACCAAGAAACCCTCTTAATTGTAAAAAGAATTATGAAAATCGCTAAATGCGACGTAAATGATATATTTTCAGATTGGTTCTATAATTGGTTGACGTAAGGATTCTACGGGCAATTCCAAATCAGAGGGCCTACCATGAAATGTTTTCCGAAATTTCGGAATCAAACGAAACACAAATTTGATGTTAAAATTACATAAAACTTACCGTTTAAAAACATTAAAAATATTAAAATATTATTCTTTTGGACTTTTATGATAGGATTTATGACGAACGAAATGATAAGCTCTATTTACTGGGCCGTATTTGGTATAAACAAAAACACGAAATTGAGTCCGAAACTTCGGAATTTAATTTCATGTATGCTACGTTTCAGGCATGTTACGTTGAAATTAAGAACATCACTTGCATACTGACACTAAACCTACCAAGCGCGGTCAAATGACCGTTTTTGAAATTTAATTTCAAAATTTTCATGTATAACGTTACAGTATCATCATGTAACTTATTGACTTTTTTATAATATACATACAACCCATTTATCAATATTTTTTTTATACAACTTAGAATGGCAAAAAGCTGACGGCCCACCGGATGGAAAGTGGTAACCGTCGCCTTTAGACATGAGCAGTACCATGGACATAACAGAGTAGGGGAGAGTGGGGGAATTGAGAACAGTGGGTAATTGGGAACAGCTAGGTAAATAATACTTCCCTCCACATTACACCATCCCGCGCTTATTCAACGGACGCATCCAGCGCCCCTCAGTGTACACCAAATAATAAGAGTGAAAGGCCACATGTACGCTGTCACGGTAAGTCGAACAATGTTTTTTGCATTTCTTTTATAATTTTTGTCGTGTCTTATAATAGGTGTAACTATCATATTTTTTAATTCAAAGGCACCATATTTTGTTATTATCATGCATGTACTATCTGCTTCCAAACCCTACGTGATTGAAGGTTATCAAATATACTATTGAGGATGGCGGCCATTTTGATATATATTGACTAATTTGGGCAATTGGGAATGGCATCAGGCGGGTAATTGGGAACGTTTTCAATTATCTCTCGCGTTCTTAGTTTACCCCTAGTACTGCTGGTTAATTATGTAAAAATGTTTTAACTTTAAAAATTGTTTTAGATGCCTCGAAACTATATACGAAAGACTGAATCGAAATACAAAATTAAAGATCTTCGCCATGCAGTTGAAGATGTTAGAAGTAAGAAGCTCACATTAGGCCAAGCTGCTACCAAATATTCAATACCAAAATCAACATTATTCAAACAATTAAAACAAAACAAAGTCAAAACACCAAAAAAAGGTCGATCTGCTGCATTTAATAGAGAACAAGAAGACCAGCTAGAAAAATATATACTTGATTGCTGCAAGACTTTTTATGGAATAACACCAAGTTCATTACGTAGAATTGCTTTTCGATTTACTGAAGCTAATTCTTAAAAAAGCTGAAACACAATTTTAACAAAGAAACCCAGCTGGCAAGCAAAGACTGGTACTATGGCTTCATGTCTCGACATCTTTCCATCAGTTTACGAATACCAGAAGCTACTTCACTTAATAGAATAACGGCTTTAACGTCATCGAAGTGAATCTGTTTTTTGATCAACTAAAAATGATCCAAACAAAACACAATATACCTGGTCATCGTATTTTTAATATTGATGAAACTGGCATTAACACAGTTAAAAAAAAATTACAATATTTTAGCTCCAAAGGGTTTAAAACAGATAGCCAAAGCGACAAGTGGAGATCGTGGTGTCACAACAACAATAGTTTGTGCTGTCAGTGCTAGTGGTGTATATGTACCAAAGAAGAACCAGTATTATTAATACTCGATAATCACGAAAGTCATATCAGCCTGGGAGCATACAAGCTTTTTCGAGAACATAACTTGCAAGTTCTTTCCTTGCCTCCCCATGTATCTCACAAAATGTAGCCACTGGATCTCACAATCTTTAGTTCACTGAAGATAGCATACAATAAGAAATGTGAGTTGTACATGGTTAACAATCCTGGAAAACGAATAACCCAATACGAGGTTGGAGAACTTTTTACAAAGGCGTACAATAAAACAACTAACATAACTAACATAGCAAGGCTGTCAGTGGATTTAGAGCCGCTGGAATTTATCCTATTAATCCTGACAAATTTAAAGACATCTTTGAGAATATGACATCTAATCAATCCTACATCAGTCAGATTCAAGAATGCGATGCTCATAAAACTACAGCTGAGCAAAGTTTACATTTATCCGATAACACTGTCAGTCAAAGTAAAACTCCTTCTCCATCCACTTCTGTGCCTCTTACCGAAATCATTAATGTGCCTATCATACCTAAAACAAGAACCACCTCTGTGCGACAGAATAAGAGACATTCTCAAATTTTATCCAGCTCACCGATAAACATTGAACTTGAGGGAAAGCAGAAAAAACAAAATGAGAGAAAAGCTAAAAAAGAAAAAGTTCCGAATAAAACACTATAAAAGAACATTAAAACCATAAAAAAAAATCTAAGAGTCAAGGGTAAAAGAGGGAAAAATTTAAAGAAGGCTTTGCAAGAAAATAAGTTCGAAGAAGAGTTTTTCTATAATGTGCAACGAAAAATATGAATCTCCGCCGACAGAGGATTGGATTATGTGCGTCATCTGTAAACTCTGGGCACATGAAAAATGTACTGCTGGCGAGACTAGTCTAGGGTACGTGTGTGATATGCGCCAACTAAAAAAACTATAGTTTATTACAAAGATTTAATTGTGTCGTTTCTAATTACCCCATACCGTTCCCATTTACCCTTCGGGATGATCTCAATTACCCCATAGGGTATCGGGTAAAAAGAAACGACAACGTTTTTTGTTTTCGTTAAAATTTCTAATGAAACGTTGATTCTTGAGAGTTTTTCTGTAACTGATAAGTAAAGTTTATATTGTAATAAAAGTTGCTATATCTAAGACTTTTTTCTATTATTTTTGGACGTTGGAAGTTAAGTGTTCCCAATTCCCCCACTTTCCCCTATACTATTTTGCCCATGATACCCTCTATCCGTTGCCATTCCTGAGAACTCAGGTGTTATTCCTCTGTACCCTGTAAATCCACGCCATATCCCACCCTTCAAACCGAAACACAGCCATGCAAACACAACTGCTTCACGGTAGAAACACGAATGGATATTTACCTACTATTATTTACTTGTTTACTATCTAATTGGCTAAAATCTCTTTCTATATTAAGATACATACTTTATTTTAAAACGGTCATTTGACCGCTCATGGTAGGATTAGGTATATAATGAAATGTCGGTAGGTTTACGGCTAAACCTTGAAAATATTGCATTCCTATTTTGGGCAAGCGTGTAAAAAAAACTGATTTAATTATATTACGGTGCGATTGCGCGGACCCCAATCCAAATCATTGACTTTTCCACATCATTCACCTGTGTACCGTATCCCGGTGTTACAAATCTGTGGGGTGGTACAGCCCCCCGGCTTTCGTCAGTCACGGTTCAACAATATGACCCCAGAATGTTGGTAAATCTAAAAGTCACCCCAAGCGGTTTATTTGTTATTCACGGTTAATCATGAGCGTGGGTGTTTTGACAACAACGGGCGATATATTGTAATTGGAAACCGCGAAGGGGGTTGAGGGGGGGAGGTAAATAGTTACCTAACAATGAGAATGCCTCAATCAGTTCTTATTGCTAGCAATATACACAGTATTTCATTAATGGAATGGCTATACGCTGGCGAGGCACCAGTGGAAGATGATAGGTGAGTGTCACTCACCAGGAATTAACCACGATAGTTACTAGAGACAATGTGAAGGTCGATCTGACAGAATATGTTGATAGCAATGGGGCCGCTAGTCCCCGTTATCGATGTCATACTCAATCAGGTCAATGTATATAACTGATACAGTATGAAAAAGCCTTCATTTTAAATTATATGTGTTTTGCATAAAGAAGTTTTTGTTTAAAAACCGACTGTATATCTAAATACCTAAGTCTTATATACCTACATATCTGTCACGCCTGTTTAAGTCTATTTAAGTATTTTAAACAATAATTAATATTGTGTTCAATAATTAAAAATCTTCAATTATTGCAAAACTATTTTATTATTATTGTTATTAGTTATAAAAACTAATCCACTGAACCTGTATGTATAACATTTCGAATAAAAAAAACATATCGGTTTACAACTGACGGAGTTTTAAGACAACAAACATAAATAATAAGAAATACCGAATTAAAAATGTTATTATTAATAAATACAAACCGAATTAGAACCCTTTTTTTTAAGCTGGTTAAAAATAGGTATATTTTAAAAAATTAAGTACCGTGCAATTTGCAAATAATTATGTATATAATTAAAAGCTACAACTGTCCATCCTTGTGAGATAGTCGGTATCAAGCCGAACTTCCTGAGGGGTGACTACAAACCTCATTTCCTGTACAGTACACCCTTCAGTGGGGAGAGGGCACTGGCAGCGTTGCTACGGTACATGCTTATTTTTTTATTTGGCTTCGAATTTCGATATTTAAAAAGAGCAGGTTACATTTTTGGCGGGAAACCGTCGATAAGATTTTTTTTTCGTAAATTGTTGTGTGAAATTTACCTACTCGTTGTTATATGTAACAAATTAAATGAAATCCGCATGCAATTTGATGGAATAATTTTTAGATGATGCCGGAACAAACATACAGAAAACAGACAAAATTTCTAAAAAATATAGTTTTTGGCTTTTAATAGGACCCTTCATGTCAATTATTAAATGTATGTTCCATAACAGACATTGTTTAATTACAATTTTATTATAATAGTAAGTTTTTTTTTTTTTTTTAATTTTCTATTTCATTGAAAATAGAAACAAAAAAATATATTGAATTGAATTTCCTATTGCGAGGCCGTCAGCTTGTTTGTCATTTTAGAATTAAGCTCGCCTGTTGTACATCTTTATCCAATATAAATTATAACAATGTAATTTTTATGTAGATAGATAGATAGATAGATACTCTTTATTGTTTCCTCCGAAAGATTACAATAGTAAACTTATTATAAATATAAATAATTACAAGAAATAATCACGTACAATAAAGTATAAATAATAATAATAAAAAATGGACCCGTATTTCTCGAAGCACTGTCTATATAATAATATAAGAGACACCTAAATGGAATAAGCTGGTTGGTCAACAGGTCACATGTACTTATTAATTAATAACATTTATTCATTCGAACTGAAAACAGCACGAGCCTAACTGAAAACATTATCGGCCATTGTTATGAAAACATTTTCAATTTTTGTTCCAAATATTTAGATACCTACGTATTGCGATTAACTTCAATGACATTATATTCTTATATTAATATATAAATACTATATTTATATGTATTTTATGTATATTTATATGTATGTAATTTACCATCTTATACTAATTTTATTTTTTTAAACCGCCATCGAGTATCTCTGCACATCGTAAAAGTTGACTGGTAGACAATTCCTACAGTATTAAGTCTTAAGCGGTAAGTAATAATATTAAGTTTTTAATCACATTTTATTGGTCAATAAAGATTAAAAAATGAATAATCTTTAAAAATAAATACGTAAATTTTTTTTATTTTCAATAAATATATTTAATTTATGAAACTTAACTATATTTTTTAAATATTACTTTATAGATAATATATATGTACTAATATAATAAAAAACTCTTCCTTATACTCTAGTTTTTACCCGCGGCTTTGTCCACGTTACTGGGATATGTTTACTGACTGGAATAGTACATATACACATATAGTAAGTGTATACTTAATTTCTTAGTAATTGGTTAAGCTGTTAAGCTACAAGATAACAAACAAAAAAAATCACGTTCACATTTATAATATTAGCAAGGATTCCTGACTCATGTGATTTAATCGGCCACTTTCCTTCCTTAGTTTATGAGTATAAGTACTTATATTATATACCTAAGATTAGAAATAGGTAATGCCCATTATTATATTGTAGTTTTTTTTTTAGATGGATGAAAATGGTATGGTAACCCCGCCTGCGCTAACAGGATACGCTGGCGGAGCACCAGTAAAGGGTGATAGATGCGAATGAAAACAGGCCAATTAGCCCATCGTGATGAAATACACTAAATTTAATCACGATGGTTTCCAGGGGGAACCGCGTGGAGGTCGACTAGATAGGGTTTATCGTTAGCAATGGGGCTAATGAACTCCATTACTAACAATCCCTTTCCCCCCAACATTATATTATAGTTATAATATCTATATATCAACCCCATAACAAATATATTGAATATTGGTAATTCAATATATAATATCGAAATAAAGCATCAGACTAAAGTTAATATATGTAGATAACCGACTGTATGGAGGATATTAAATAATATGATCACGGAAAGTAAAGTAATAGTGATTACCTTTTTTTCCGCCAATAATAGTCAGAAGAACACAATATACATATATTTCAATA